CTCTTCCTCCACCAGTTTCCTGATGGCCAGGTACCACTCTTCTTGCTCCTGCTGGTCATCCGCCACCAGTACCATGGTTTGATCTTTAGCGTACACTGCCACTGCATGGCCCTTCCTGGAACTGCCGATCCGGCTCACACCCAGACAGCACCTCAGGTAAATCACCCTGGGAAGAAGGAAGGAATTGATGACAATGTTTCTGCAACTACCTTACAAATAACCTCTCTCACTGTAACAAATCCAATCACCACTGTTTGGCAGAAAGAAGGTCACCATAGTGGCACCAAGTGTTTTGTGCTATTAACTACCAGAAAAGAAATGATTATCCAATTATTTCTCTTGATTAACAAAACATTAAAAGCTCTTCCTCAAACAGGTTACTCTCAGTCAATTAGGCAAAGTAGTCACCGTTTGAGATGTCCAATAAATTACTTTGGTGTACAAAAAAATGAGAGAAGTGAATTAAACTAATATCAGAACCTATCAATATTTGGATGATGGAACAAGATTATGCAAGTTTCCCAACCCTTGCTTGCTCGATCCAAACAGTGCAGCTTTACCAGCAGACTTCCCCACTGCTGTAAACTTCTCCTGGTTCTTGTACCACTCCAGTCGACTGGGCCCAGTGTGACTTCCTGCCCTCAGGACAAAATATCTTCTCTGATTCCGCTCCAGCTTCCCCAGGTAACCCTGTTTCACGACATCACTCTGCAGCCCAGAGGTCATGAGGGCACCAGCCAGAGGGTCCAGAGTCTGGCTGGTACAGAAGAGGTCCTCATAGAAACGACACAAAGGATGCTCACTTGACTGCATCTCAGTGTGACTGTCCAGGGAGTCCTGGTCCTGCTCCATTTGACGGTCACTTGTTCGTGGCAGCCGCTGAGGAGATTCAACCGTCAGCCATGTTTGGGTGGAGCTGCAGCTTGGAGATGACACAGGGGAGCTGGAGGCAGGCAGAGATCTTCTGTGGTTGTCATCTACTTCTGCAATTTCATTCATTTCAAGCTGGAGACCTACAACATGCACACAGAGGAAGAATATTTAGCAACTGGCCTCTGCTAATAATAAAGGAGATGAATGAGAGGTTCAACCAAAAGAAAAAGATTAGTTGAAGAGACTAAAACAACTTCCACTTAATAATCTTAATCTTTTGCATTCAGTTCTTTAGTAACCTGGATCTTTGTACACAATCATACATATACTGATGCAACTTCTTGGTACTATTCAAATAACTGTTTGGGAATAAAGTATATTTCAGTTTAAAAGGGTGCAGTCAGTCATACTTTATCTCTTTGCACAAAATTAGCATACTTTAAGTGGGAAATGTGTTCCTCTGCACATTACCATCGTATGTATTTTACAAATTAACTAAAGATATTTATTAAAGTCTGACATCATCATCTATGGTTTCCAACATCACAAGATGAAAAATCAACAAGAGTAAATCTGACTAGATAAATACACTCCAGTGGCTATTATGTTTTTAAAATAAAATGTTATGCTGCTTATTTAAAGGTTTAGATTGTTGGTCTTATTTTATCAGAATATAAACAATTTACAGATACCTTAGGATCTGGACTGTTTCACCCTCTTTTCTGACAAACTATTATAACCTACAATTAAAAAAAATGATAAAGCAATCAGTAAATACAGCAATTGTTAATTTCAACCATCCTCACTGATTCACAGAGCAAACAGTCTGACGTTATCTACACCGTGAGTTAAGTTAACGCTAACTAACATGGATTTTCAGACAGATTTATTTACTAAACTCACCTGAAACTTACAAGTATAAACGTCGCACCTGAAAAGTGCACAGTATCACCCACTTTTCATATTAAAGTTGCCTGTAGAAGTCAAACAGTGATTTTCGAGGCTACTGTTATTACTGACAGGGTTCTTAGCCCAGGTGCAACAGGTGCAACAGGTGCCAATCAGTGAGACGTTCAGGAACTCCTCGTAAAACCCAACACTCTAAATAAAAGATTGGGCAAGTTGTTTATTGAAGTAGGAGTCCCCTAAGGGTCACGGTGGTGTGTTTTTTTACTAATCTAATTTTGCGTTCCATGACCTGTACATTTTGCAGTCGGTGTGCTAGAATTATTGGAGTAATTTAATGAATTATTTCATAAGAGCTCCTATAAAATAATGCACACCCGCTTATAAGCATACATAGTCGAGTCTGGCTGTATGTGATATTTACCCATAAACCATATCAGATATTTCTTTGGAGAAATTGTATAAGTTAAAACCTGGAGCACTGGGATGTTAATTTTAACCATGGCTGTAAATGTGGTGTATATTTCAGTGTTTAAAAAAGGGGCTTCAAAGAGAGGAGTTAACAGTATAGCTGATATGAATCAACAGTTTTCTGAGTTAATCCTATATCTTGTCAGGTGAAGATGTGGGAAATTACTTCAGTTATTTTCTTACGTAAAGAAAGCGGTGTCTGTCATGATGATGACAGCAGCTGTTCCTGTTGTAGTAGCTGCAATAATGGGCAGAGCACTTTGGTTTCAGCATATTTCAACATCAACAAATTCTCCCACAGCTAGTGTCAAAGCAGCTGCACCTCTCAATACTCTTCACTCCAGGATGTCTCTCCTCTGGGGTGTCCTCTCTCAGGTGCTCAGCTGGGCCAACCTCTGTCAGCTCCTGCAGATGGTTGGTGCAGGACTGGTTGCAGTGGCTGTAGTTTGGATGGTGAGGTTGCTGCTGCGTCACACCTGGTACACATACAAGCTGTCCTGCTTCAGCAAGCCACATGCAGACTCTTGGCTGATAGGCCACCTGGGCCAGGTAGGACACAGACACACACACACACACACACACACACCAATGCTGGAGAAGCACACCAATATGCATCACTTGTCAGTTCTTATGGTATGTAATTATGACCTTTAAATGTTACCAGTTTGTCATAACAGTGAAAGACCACACCAGGAAATCCTGTATGATTGCACTCTGTTGCACAATATTATTGTGAAATATGCTGTTTTTAATAAATTTCCTTTAAAATGTTGTATAAGAATTCAGCAAAGCAATGAAGGTTTCACCTAACAACACTGAATATACTAACCCTTCATTAAAAAAAAACAGATTTGATCCAACTTTACAAGGCATTATTCTTCTTGGATTTCATTTAAAAACATGGAGAGAACTGTATTTGTCTTAAGATAGAAAAACTGATATTTATTTGTGGCTCAGATGCAGAGCACAGAAGAAGGGCTCCTGCAGGTGGATAACCTGGTGCAGACACACAAACACTCCTGCAGCTGGTTCCTCGGCCCTTTCTATCACCTGGTCAGAGTCTTCCACCCCGACTTTGTCAAACCTCTGCTAATGGCACCTGGTACACTAACACGCTAGCAGTCAAATTAAATGTCATACAATTACTGTACCCAACTTAGCTTTTGTTCACACCAGTGCAAATGTTAAATATTAAAGCCACATTTCTCTTCCTCACTTCCTCTGTCTAGCCAGTATAACAGTGAAAGATGATCTTATCTATGCACATCTGCGTCCATGGCTTGGTGAGTGAAATAGCTCTTGGTGCTTTAAGAGCTTGATCAAAGTCATGTGGTTGTCTAGTTTCTCTAAGACCAATAATAATAGAGTAAGATGACAGAGGCTGCAACAGTTAAATGTAACTGACTATACAAGTTACAATTTACTGTCATCCCTACTTCCACACCACATCTCTCTTATGTCCCAGGACAAAGTCTGTTGATAAGCAATGGGGAGGAGTGGTCTCGCAGGAGGCGGCTGCTGAATCCGGCTTTTCATTTTGATGTTCTGAAGAACTACGTTACCATGTTTAACACGTCAGCTAACATCATGCATGTAAGACAGCCATAAACACAACTGCTGTCATTCATAAAGCAGTGAGCGATAAATATTAATTTAATCTATGGCAGTGTAAAGTGTGTGTATGACCTTTAGTGTCTGTGACCCCAAATGCAATGATAGGTTTATGATGAGTTTATTAAAAATAAAATCATGTCATAAAATACAACCTGCTGTATAATTTCTTACAGGCCACAATAATTAAGTCTTTTATGGTCATAATTTCATTAATTATTTATTTTATGTTATTGTTATTTACTGAGATCAAGATCTCTCTTTTTAAGATGGAGCTATGCAAAAAAAAGAGATACAATGGTCACACATACTGAACAATAAACACTCAATTTACACAGACAATATATACTGGTTCTGGATTAAAACATTACAACAGACTAGTATAATTTTAATCTAATCTAAATGTCTTGATATTCCTGTATCCACCTCTCTGATTGTCAGGACAAATGGCGCCACCTGGTGGCAGAAGGCTTGACTACTATAGAGATGTTTGACCACGTCTCTCTGATGACCCTGGACAGTTTACTGAAATGTGCCTTTAGCTACAACAGCAACTGTCAGGAGTGAGGACACCCACTTTATCATTTTCCACACATACATTCCGCTTCACTTGTACTTCTATTATTATTATTTTATTTCTCTCTGTAGGTCTACCAGTGACTATGTGTCAGCCATTGTGGAGCTCAGTGACTTGGTAATAGACCGACGGCACAACATTTTACACCACTGGGACTGGATCTACTGGAAAACACAGCAGGGAAGACGATTCAAAAAGGCCTTAAGTATTGTACACAGGTATGGTACATTCAAAGGTCTGACCAGTGTTACACAAATAGTGTAGGAGTCTTGTGTTACTGCTGTACTGGCTCAGCACCTTTGCATTTTTACTTAAATTGTATTTTAACAATTTTAAAGCATTGTTTCATATAGAAATATATTGTTTTTATCATAGTAACCTTATGTGTCACATATACACCATATTGCACTGTGCACTACCACATCATAACAACATACAGTATCTTATTTGGCATTTGCAGGTTCACAAGGGAAGTGATTCAGAAACACCGTGCTGTCATTAGCCAGCAGATGAAGACAGAAACACAGTCTGATTTCACCACAACACCACAGAAGAAGAAAGATTTTGCAGACATCATACTGCTTTCAAAGGTAGAAGAGAAGGAGGAAGTAGCAAAATGAGTGAGAAACAGAAATGGAGACAAAAAGTGAGGTGGAAGGACAAGGTTCAATTGTTTTAAAAGGACTGAACATTGTGTTATAACACATATGTGTTTGTGCACTTTGTGTTGCAGGATGAGGATGGTAAAGGACTAACAGATGAGGAGATACTAGCTGAGGCCAACACCTTCATGTTTGCAGGTGACAAAAGTTTAAAGTGAGCCTATGTAACCTTTACTAAACCGTGTAAATTACTGATGCTAAAATATTGTGCAACAGTAGCACAAGTGGGAGGAGGCACCATTAAAAGTGTCCTAACACCTGAAAATGAAAACCTCCTACCTTTTCCACAGGGCATGACACAACAGCCAGTGCGATTTGCTGGATACTGTATAATTTAGCATGCCACGCCCACTATCAGGAAAAATGCAGGGAGGAAGTGGTGGATCTGATGCAAGGACGAGATGAACACAAAATAGAGTGGTCAGAATACACACACACACACACACACATACTAGCTGAATCGCAAAACATCTCATAGTAATGTCCTCAGTAAAAGATGTGGAAAACTTGTTTATACACAAACTCAGTCCCTGGAGCACTAAGCCTATTGTGTGTGCATTCACATGTCCTTGTCTACAGGGAGGATCTGTGCAATCTTCCCTTCACCACCATGTGCATCAGAGAAAGCCTTAGACTCCACTCTCCTGTACAGGCTGTAACAAGGAAATACACCCAGGATGTGGCACTGCCAGGGGGCCGCACAGTACCACAAGGTGAGAGGTGGAGATAGATTTTAGAGGTTAAAAATGTCTTGGCTCCTACTCTCATTTTCTTTTGATCATATTCATGCATGCTAAGAACCCCACTTTAATCCATTCACTACTTCAGTTGTGCAGTACCTTTTACAGGGACCCATTTGATTTTTTTTAACAATATGCCAGCCTCAACAGGAAGGTGAAACACCTGATCAGACCAGTTGGTTGGTTTATGATAACCTTCACAGAGTGAAGCAGTGAAAGTCCATATTTTTCCTGTAAACCTTCCAGGTGCTATCTGTCTGGTCAGCCTTTATGGAACTCACCACAACCCTGCTGTTTGGACAAACCCACATGTAAGATATTAATGAAATCATTTTCTTTTCACATTCATAAATCTATCATGTTTAAGATGCATGTTTGTTCTCTGCTAGGAGTTCAATCCTATGCGTTTTGACCCGACTAACAAAGAGGCCCGGGCTTCTCATGCCTTCATCCCCTTTTCCTCAGGCCCCAGGTACAGTGTGCTCGCTTTACATATAGGACCAACCTAGAAAGATCTGACAGTTAGGTGAAGAAATCACTCTCTATGTGTGTTCACAGGAACTGCATCGGTCAGAAGTTCGCCCTGGCAGAGCTGCGAGTCGTTGTGGCATTGACCCTGCTCAGGTTTCGTTTGACCCCTGGGGTGAACCCCGGGACATGCCAGGGAGGTGTTCGCCGTCTCCCTCTCCTTGTGCTACGAGCTGAGGGAGGCCTGTGGCTGCAGCTGGAGACTCTGAACACAACCAGCCTGGAGGATCCGCAGGATTAATGATCCAACATGATGACTTATTCACTTGTTTTATTATAAAATTACAAAAACGCAGAAGCTCTGGCTGCACATGTGGCAGTTTACTATTCTTGTCAATAGATGTATGTTTACTATATTGATTCTGAATGCATTTGTGTTGCTGGGTTACATGGTTCTTTTATTATCATTATCACTGCATTACTGAATTATTAAGTTTGGTTTAAATAAAGGCTGAGTTTTCAAAAAAGTATCCTCATCCTTAAACTTATCTTCATGGTAAAAGCGGGTTTTTAAGATAAAGTAAGGCTGAAAAAACTGTTACTTGTAGGACCTGGTACACAGAGTCTGAATGAATCATTCCTAGAAAATCAAGGGCCAACATTCCTTGTCCATGAATTGCTCTGTAGTAAAAGAGAAAAGAAGAGTTAGCTCAGGGTTGACACATAGTTAGCTGTGTGGCTACGTGGACACTAACAAAAATGTGTGATACCTGACATTAAACTGAGAGTCAAGTGTAGCAGAGACACAGCCCGTAACAACAAATTACTCCATGTGGCTTGATGTAAGGAGTCTTAATGAGGATATTCCTGAGTAATTTGGACACCAGGTGGTGGAAACGTACTATTTTGTGTTTGTATGGAAAAAATAATTACAGTTTTTCAGGAGCAAGCTCATAAGTTAGTTAGCTCAGTAGCATTAGGTAGTTGGGTTAGTAAAATATATTGTCAGTTTTTAACAATGCTAGTAAATGTATAGCTATAATTTTGACGTACTGAAACGTCGTAGTGGAGGCGGAGCCACTTGTCGTTACTTTCGCTTCCGGCTCTCTCGCTTAATCTAACGCTGCGTAATTTTAAACTAGTGTATTTAGCTTTTAACTAACTAATGTTAGTAACTTAACATATCGTTTCAGTTTAGGACAGAACCAGTTCGGATTGCTCCTCATCTCTGACCGTTGTTCCGACCGCTGTGGCCGAGGGTATCAGTGAAGATGTTGCCGGGGTGGTGGTTGTGCTTTTTGCTGGGCGCCGTGTCTGCACAGTGGGGTGAGTTTGTTGCTGCTAGCTTAAATATACCTGACCTGTTTTAACACACTGGAAAATAGTTTTTTGTAGATTATAAGAGAGTCTATGTGCAAGTTGTCCCGCTGAAGTGGTATTGTCCTTATCTGTGGCCCCACCAAGTAGTAAACCAGCATGGAGATACTCAATACAAATGGTTTCCAGTAGCTAACGCCAACTAGCACTAGCTAACGTCAACTGCTTGAGACTTCATACACAGTAGAATAGATTATTAACAGAACAGTAATAGAGTAGAATAGAATAAAAGAGGGGAGGACACGGGGGAAAGTAGTTGTAGGCGAGTTAAAAACAGAATAGAATAGGAAACAATAGATTGATTATAATGCAACAATAGACCAGAATAGAGTAGAACAGTTGTACATCATAGAACAGTTAGGAATAGAATACACACTAGAATAGAACAGAGCATAAGAGAGTATAATATATCAGGGTGGGACAGAAATGGGATATGTAGAATAGAAAAATAGCAGAACATCACAGGTTCCCAAAGACCCTCAGTGCACTTTGATAAAACTGAGAAAAGCAACAAATCCTGGAGCTGAAGTATTAGATTTTTTTCTCGATGAATGATTAATCAATAAACGTAGTGATCAATTGTTAATTTAATCTTTTCAGCACTTAAGTCAACCCGTAGTACTGTACTGTTCCCCTTGCTTCTTCACCACCTGTAAGGACAGTTCTCTGCGTCTGTTTTTCCATTTAACTAGTCTGCGTAGAACTTGAACACTAAAATCATCCAGTGAATAAAAACTCCATTTAGAGGATGTGTAAAAAAAAAAAAAAAACATGGCACCTGAGCTGCTTGTTGTCCTTGCAGAGAGCCCAGTCTACAGGAAGGTGGGTGATCCTGTAGTTCTCAAACCAGGCTCTGTGCCTGACACCATCACCAGCATCCTGTGGAAACATGGGGACAACATCGCCATCCAGTGGGACCATAGTGATCCAGAGATTATTTATTATCGTCAATTCAAAGGTAAACTGGTCCCAGTCTAACTCAGATCTTTGGTGTCAGTGACAGTGGTTACATGTGTTATCTGTGACTCTTCTGTTCAGAAGCTAATTCCATTCATGTTTATTTAAAGTGCGTAGTAGCCTGAACATTTCCAGTGGAGAGATGACAATCAGAGAGCTGACTCACAATGACAGTGGGCTTTACAAACCAGAGATCAATGGGGGCAGTGACAGCAGTCTATTTCCTGCAACTCGTCTCACAGTCATTTGTAAGTGGAGAAATTACACACTGTTTAGTAAAGTTACATTTTGGGGCTGAAAATCAAAATGTGCCTTTTATTGTCTCCATTAACAACAGCCCCCGTCCCTGTACCTCAAGTTACTGAATCCTGTAATGATCAGAAGACCAGCTGTACTTTCACCTGTGAAAGTACAGCTGGTACAGACGCTGAACCGGTGACCTACGAATGGAAGTCAGACGGAAAGGTGATAGCATCATCCAAGGAGCTGCATGTTACAAAGGTACTGTAAACCAGCGGTCCCCAAACTTTTTTTGTACCAGGGACCGGTTTCAGGCATGAAAATGTTTCCACGGACCGGGTAGAGGCACGGGGGTTCCAATAACAAAAACCTTTGTCAATTCATGTAATCTGAACAACAATTACACTTTATATTAGGCAATTACAATAATTCTACACTATATCAACTCACCATAATGCAGAGTCAGCGGGAGCCCTGGGCGGGATGGTCCCATCTAGGCTGATGGGAGACAGTGACACACGCAATGTGCTCCTTATGCCCAGTCTGCTCCGTAATTTTGTCTTGGTTGCTGTCACTGCAGAAAAGCCCGCTTCACAAAGATAGGATGTTGGAAATGGTAGCAGGGTTTTCAGTGCTCTTGTGGTGATTTCAGGATATTCTGGCTTGATTTTCATCCAGAGCACCGGCAGAGTTGTTGCCTCAAATGTACGTTTAAGGTCACCGTCATTTGCGATCTCCAGCAGCTGATCCTCTTGTTGCACAGACATGCAGAGCAGCCCTGGTGCGTGAGAGTCACCTGTTGCCATTTGAGGGCTTATTTTTTTAGCAACGTATCACGTGACGTCGTGACCGACACGTGTCTTGACGTGTCAAGGGGCACAGGTGGATGATACGTCAGAGAAAATCCCGTCGTTTTTCATAATAAAACATCTTCCAGACTCAATGCAATGGAAATTATATAAATTATTTATTCTTTCTGTGCGGCCCGGTAACAAATGCCTCACGGACTGGTACTGTTGTCAGACACTTAAAATGCCACTGTCCACTACCTGCTCAGCACCAGACACAGCTGGAGACCAGCTGGTGAACAGAGTGCAGCATTTAGCAGCAGAGCCAGGACTGGGCCATAAATTCTTTGATTGGCCTTCCTGGTCTTTGTAACTACTAGCTAGTTTCAAACAAGTGATGGGTTGCACCATTAAAACTTAAGACATATGTTAACCAGTAAATACTTGAGTAATGTGTAACTGTAAAGAGGAAGTCACTGTAGCATCAGGAGCTAGAATAACTTCCAAAAAGTTCTCTTTTAGAGTTCAACAGATAGATGTACATATTACTTTGTTTTCAGAGAAAGGTGGTTGTATTTATACAGTTTTTAAGGAGAGGAAAATATCTGATTCTTCCTACCTAATTGATATTATTTTTTCATTTAGTGAACTGCTATCGACATAATTTCAGAATATGTAGTGTTATTTTTATGAAATGTCATCTAAAATCCTCCAGACCGACATCATTGTTAAACTAAATTTGTCAAACCTCAGGCCACATATGTCAACCATACTTCTTTGTATTTGATATAGTGACAGATAAATGTGTGTAAATGTTTGGCTTTGCTCCTAGGAGAACAATTCAAGTATGTTTACTTGTGAGATGAAGAATCCTGTCAGTGAGAGCAGCAGCGATCCCATCCCCAACCCTTTCAACAACAACACTCCTTGTAAGTTCTCACAGTGAAACAAGTGAAACTCCTCAACACAAGAGGAATCAAATTATCATGGCACTGGCCACAGGTTTTACTTTGCTAGCCAGAATAAGTCCAGAAGGAAATGAAAGGCCACTTGTTGTCATTTTACAGCACCGAAAACGTACACCGGACTCACAGTTTTCATCTGTTTGCTGCTATTTGTGCTGCTGCTTTTTGTCATACACAGATGGAAAGCAGGTGAGAAATCCTCATACTGTCTTTACTTGCACTGTATCAATATTAGCAGTTAGCATTTAAGCAAGCAGATCGTGATCATTGTGTTTCTCCCATCTAGGAATGTGGTTCTTCCAAAAAGGTAAGAAGACCTTATGTCTTGTTCTGTGAGAATACTGGTCCACATTAAAGCTGAAAATAAAAGTTTGCTTGCTAGATGTTCCTGCTGTCTAGTCAGTACATTCCTAACATGTTTGCTGTGGTTCTTTCCCTGCAGCATCCATGCCTTGGGAAGCAGGTCAGTAACTAATTGTCCTGTTATTCCCACTGATGCCTTTACTGACCTTTACAGATATTTCTTCTGTGCTGTATTCTCTGTTAATGTTACTGTCCTATCGTCCACCAATTCAGACTTCTGGACGAAGCAAGAGAGACGCTGTAAGTTTCACCCTCAGTCCACTTTCTTTATTTTAGTCCAAATTATTATGATTTTAAAAAAGTTGACATCCATGTTTCCATTTTACAGCAAGTTACGATGCTAATGGGACCACTGATCATAAAGAGAACAAACGAACAGAAGGTACGTTACTGCAAATAAAACACCTGCTTCTATGTTTACTTTCTGTAGGTTGTTTCACATCAAATAAATATACCACTCTGAGAACATTTCAAAGATTATATGTGAGGTTACACTGCTCACCTGTGCAACATTTAGTGACACGTATGGCTCTTCTTTCCTTTGGACATTTGTCAGAGGAAACACCAATGACCTAGATGGCCACACAACATCAGACCAGGACCTGCCAGGTGTAAAACAGGATCCACAAAATCAGGAGTGAAGCTGACATGTTCTAGAAAGTCCACAGTGGCATTTCACTGGAAGCGGGTATCCAGGGTGGAGTCAGTTCAGTAGCTGCTGCACTGCAGATTGTTTTCTTGCAGTGGTTTTCCTATGTGTCTTGTGTCATACTTTTACAGTACACTTTCATAATACCGTGATAGTATTATTAGCTCTAAAGAAAATGTAAAATGTCCTGAGCTACTATCAAAAAACAGGTTTTTGATTTGTTTTTATCATGATTTTTTTTTTATCAACAAACAGTGACACCAGTGAAATACTGTCTCACTCTTCTTGTCACTCCACATGTTGCTGGGAGCTACTTTCAGCTGAAGAAACACTAAGAAGAGGGAATATTATAAAAGTTAATCAGAATCAAACAGACAAGGAGAGTACAATGCATACTCTAAGTTAATAAAGGCACTGTCGTAGAGACATGAAGCACACCTCAGATTTCCCTGAGGGGTGATTCTCATTTCTAGAGGCACAGTATTGAAACAATACCAGGAAGCCCAGTAAATGTGCTTTCCTGTGACTGTCCACATACCTGACACCAGCTGACATCTCGAGCTCAGTAAATCAGGGCCTGAGGATGATTTGAGGGAGGTGCGGTGTGGACTCGTGCGGCTTCATAGCGTTGGGGAACAACTTGGACTATTTGGGGAGGAATTGGACAGACAGTAGAGGAAAAGGGGCACCATTGTCTGGCTCACAATCGAGATACTGTACAGCACTTCACTGTGTTACTGCTGAGGAGCCAGCAGCAGCTATGTGTGTTTGTAGCAAGTAGGCAAACAAATGTGGGAGATTTTACACTCAAAGTCTGTTACTATTTTTTAGTCTTCTTTAATAGTGATAGTATTATTAGCTCTAATACTTTTTTTTTAAATCTGTGACTGTTTATTGTCAGTTCTATAGACCTGATCCCCTTGGAACACTCATCTTTTAGTTCTGTATTTAACTTTTAAATGTGAACGTCAAATTTATGGATTTTCCTTGGGTGCAGGTAATACTTTAAAAATGAACACCAGGTTTGTTCTTGCACCTTTTTTCCTTCCAAGCCTTACATGTAGTTTAAAAGATACAGCAGACAGTAACAGACTGTTACAATTACTGGATTGACTTTTAAAGATCAGATCAGATGTTTTATGTACTGTATACACTGAGATTTGAAATATTTATGAAACCTTTTAGCTTACAGAGCTGCACTAATTAATTGGAAGCATCTTTCCATTGTAAAAGAAAAAGAACACTCCTGTTTCCACAGTTGTTGAGACAAGACAGATATTCATAGCCTGTTAGCATTTGTTATGGTTTGTTGCAGCACTGAGCATGTAAAGAATGCAGATGTTTTTATAATGCCTGTGTGTAATAAAACTACAGATTATGAGATGATCCTCTTTGTATTTTTTTTAGATCTGCACATTGGTGCTTTTTGATCCACTTTAATATACTCGTTACTCAATGACAGTCCAAAGCTGAGCCACTTGAGGGCAGATTTCACCATCAGTTTTCTGTAGAGCAGCCGCAGCAGGCGCCCAGAGGAACAGTGACTGATACAGTATATTCCACAGCTCAGAGCAGAGGCATTTTTGTTGTTCATTGTGCTTTGTACATGTTAAACTGCCTTTAACTCCTTGTTATAACTACTGTCAATTACTTTTTCTCTGCAGATGAAATAGATTTGAGTGGCATGAGGCTGGTAGTTCTTTACAAATGGAAGTAGTGCTAATTGCTGTTCTGCACCTAACTGATTATAATTTATGCATGTTTTCTGAAAGTGTTTCCATGTTTAAAGAAATGTCTCTGATCTGTGCACACAATAGAAACAGGATTAATTTTCCCTTTTCAAGCTTCAGGGACAGAGTGCTTACAGACTACTACAGGTGTGCTGCTGTCATTTTGCACTCAGAAATCAAATCAGAAAGCTTGGATATTAAATCTGCAGATCTACATTTAAACAGCCAGTTTCAGAAGAAACTGGGTCTTGAACATGCTGCCAGGCCACAATTGGATACATCCCGCTGTGTTCATCTGTAGAAATGTCAGAGGAAAAAAACAACCCCTACTAAGAAATGCATAAAAACAATCAGAAAGCTCGTCCTGCAGTGAGCAGCAGCTGACCAAACAGCTCCCACTGATATATTACAGTGCTGTCTGCAACATCTAGCAGAAGTGTCAGCACACCGCTGTAGTCGTACACAACTGGATGGTTTCACACTGCAAGTTATAATCTCAGCTAATGGTATTATGCCCCATCTAGGAAATGCATCACGTTCATGTGGTGGTTCCCACCCTAGGGTTTGGGACCCCCTAAGAGCTCAGAAGATAGCTCCAAGGAGTCGAGATGACGACCGACGTTACAAAGTGACAAAACCCCACCCAACAGCACAAGTTATTACTTTCTTCAATATTTTTGTCCTTGGTTTACCACAGTACTGTTCAGTATGGTTTAGTACGGAGCCAAAAAAAAAAAAAACAAAAACAAAAAAAAAAAAAGGACAGGAGCTTTTTCATCCTCAAATGTAATTTATTTGTGAAAAAAAAAACATCCTATTAGCATCTGTTATCCTTTACAGCATTCAGACAGGTTCACAGTTAAGTCACTTCTCAGCAATTTATTTCATTCAAATTAAATATAACTAGCAATACATTGTGAACATAATCCAACTCAAAACTCAGTTAAACTGACACGAGTATTGTGTCTATTGTAAGAAAGATGCCCACCAGTACCTACCTCCAGAACCTTTACCCTGTAGTTCCTGTTGCATCAAATAATACTGCATTCCTATGTTTACTACTGGACGGAGACAACTGCTTCCTACTGTTATGATTGGTGTAAACCCAAAATAAAAAGATGCCTGCTTTAGGAGCTGGAACCCTTCTTGGTTGTTTGCCAAAAAGGCCGACAAACTCACATGGCACAGGCAGAGAATTAGCAGCAATGATGGCTGCAATACTGCTGACATTTATATGAAAGTAGAAATATCACATTGTTAAATAACCAAGTGTCTGTCTATAAACATTACTTTCAGATAGTTTCACCTAAGCAACACCTTCTGTTGCCCGTTTCAATGTGTCAACTAAGAATAATGTTAAACACCCTGATGCTGCTGCTTCTACAGCACAGAGACCAGCAATAAGGTCATAAAGAATAAACCACAGCTATAGTAAACGTGCTGTTTGCAGCATCAAATAATGAACCAATACAGATACTGGAGGAGAAGATAAAATGCATGATTGATTTGAAAAAGTGATTATCGAGAAATGAAAAATATTCAGACGGCACTATCGCACAATGATGTACAATGCTGCTGTACAGTAGTGTCAAATCTGAAACTTTCTCAAGGCATTTTTAGTGATCACATAGTAATCATGGGCCTCAGTTTGAAATCACCACCACTGAAAGGACAGCTCAGGATGTAAGAGCTGCAAAGTCCTCATTTCCTGCATAAAATGATTAAAAAACTCAGTTACACTAATGGTCCCTCTCTGTATACAAGATGACTGTTTATAAGACTAATAGTGTGACTTAGTGCTGCAGTTTAAATGAAAAAGTAAGAATTTTATTGTCTTCTCCTTGTTGCAGACGAGGCACTTCTATGATTAACATCAGAGGTATGACTGGCTGATCTTGCTGGGTCTCAGGAGCTTAGTAGTGACCCTAACCCTAACCCTAACCCATCCAGATAAGATTCTACTTATGCTTTGACAGTGCTGCTGTTAGACAAAGGTTGCGCCTCTGAAGTCACGGCCATAGGGTTGAGCTCTGCGCTCAATGTCTGGCCGTCGGCAACGCCTCCTCCTCTGGGCTGGTTTCTGTAGTGGCGGAAGATGACCACAGCCGCACACGCAAAGTAGATGACAGTGAGGATGGTGAAGTAAATGACGTACACCTTGAACTGTAGGAAGGAGAAAGAAGTGTCTCTTCAAACAGATTAACACACACATACAGTATAAGACAGTTAAATACTGATGGAGATCAGTACTGCAGTAGCTGTACAATGGATGACTGACAAACGCTCTACGCTGCTGTGACAACATCTCTTATGCACCTCTACCACTTGCTGTGCTGATCCTGATCCGCCAGGCTTCTACCATGTGTTTCTGTCTGCTACTGGTCTGCAGTTAAACTTCAAATGAAGGAAGCTATGTCGAAGTTGTGATGGACGTGCAGTATATTCAAAATTGCTTCCTGCTGCAGCAGCAGCGGATGATAATGGGATGCTGCTACCTGAATGTGTTGTACGCTGAGCTTTGCAAACAAGTGTTATTTGCACTGGTCACAAATCAGAAGGTGCTATGTTTCCCTTGTGTCTAAACAATTTTTATAAAGTCTTTATGTAACAAGTCTGAGTATTAATTATGATATACAAATAACGTGCCTCCCCTAAAGTGTCCTGATATAACTGTCATGACATATATTCAGGGGAAAATGCAGGCAAAGCTGCCTGTGTTTGAAACGTGTAATCCTCTGAGATGTGTTCTACCTGAGACTGCACATTCAACGCCAGGCCACGCTTGTCAGAGAATATCAGGTTGATGATGGTCTTCAATATGGTGCCCAAGAAGGTGTTGATGCCAAACACGAGTGCACACAGCTCCTTGGTAAGGGACGAGGCGATCTGGAACCTGTGGAGACACGACAAAATGCAACCACGCTCAGCTGAAAAAGTCTGACTAAAACTTGGTAAATCACCAAGAGCTCATTAAAAGTTGCGGTCCTAATGAGCATTAGTTACTTTAACCCCACTTTTTTTATGACAGCTATGGCACTGTCCACCTGATCCTGCATTGTGCAGCTAAATTAATTTCAGTCTCACTCTAGTATGGTGTATATGCACGTCACCTGCTGGCTAGTTTCCTGCTAGTCAGCCACAGATTTTCCCAATTTTTTAATTCAGGACATCCCTTCATAAAGATGTTCAATAGAAGTACTGAAAAAGCATTGTTTAAATGAATGCATTTCTGTTTTCATAATGCGGAAAATTGATTTGCCTGTTTTTTTTATGCACCAGATTAATCGTAGAAATAATCGACAGATTAATCGATTACAAGAGCTGTTACATGCAGTACTAGTATTCACACAGATGAACTACACTGTATGTGGCACTCACGTTGCAACAGGCACCAGGAACTGGTAGAAGCCTCTGAAGAAGACGTAGGCGATATAGCACACCCAGATGTTCTCTGTGGTGCACATGATAAGCAGCAGACCTGTCTGCGCTGCTGTGATGATACCGATAACCAGCTCCGACCAGACGTTCCACCGAATTGTCACAAAACCAGCTATGAAGGATGTTATTGCACCTGGATAAAGACACACACATCACTCAGTGCTCTCTACACTGAGGGAAACTCAGACTCTTATACATCTGGGTTAAAACAAGTGCAGAGATATTGTGTCAGACACTGAATCACTACTCTGCTAATAATCCTGTCAACCTTTCACTGTGTAAATGATGTGACTTCACTATTCATGTCCTGACTTGGCCGTTCAGTCTTGTTTTTATTAGCTTCCTACTTTCAGTTTAACAATATCTACTTCTAGGTAATATATTTTACTAGCATATTCTCCTGTCATCAATGACTTAACTACATAACCAACACTATTACAAGTAGGCTTTTTCTCTTTTCATCACACACCTACTATCAGATTATTTTTTTGCAACAACACTTGTACTGTTTGCATTGCACATGATGCCCAGGTTATTACAGCTATTTGAGGGTATTTACTGATGTTTAAACCCTCAATGTGGAAAGCTGGGATATCAGTTAGATAACCCCTTACATGCAGTTGACCTTCTTCATGTTTTTACGTGATGCTTTTCCCAGACTTTAATCTCTGGACCCGACCTTAAGAGTTTGTTTATGCATGAATACTTTAAAAATCAAAAACAAATGATCCGATTCATAAGGAGAAATTAGTGTCCTTCTCATTAACTGAATTTCAGTTGGATTCTCTGCCTCAAAACATAATATGCAATGATTTATTTTCCCAAAGACAAATTCAGGGAAAGTCTGTCCTCTGGCAAAGTTCAGTTTTCTAGTCAAGAACACTTCTAGCCCCACAACATGTAAAATACTATCATAACAATATTAAAATAAGTCCACTGCAGTGTATAACACATGGCTGCCAGCAGCCTTGTGGGAAATCAGACTGTGGACCTGCAGGAACACACACCAACCTCCTCACGTCTAACAACACGAGAGTTGATCATTCAGGAAACCAACTAAGCAATACCTCCTGCTGGCCCTCAACTGGAGGGGTTTTGCCATTTTGTTGTTGCTGAGCTCAGAGGAATTGTCCTCACTATTTGTGGCTAAATGTAGCAAGCTGATGTTAAATTCCTATGTGAACAAAAGCATGGAGAATTTGAAAATGACACCCAGCTA